TATAGGGTAGTCAGAGACGTAGGTGAACAGGGCTCAAAAATTATTTTTAAAATAAGGTTGTATGTCGCTTTATAACACAACTCACTATTTTTCAAGAATAATGACACATTTTTAAAAATGGAAATTTTTCATTAATACACAATTCTACCGCAATAAATTCATATTTTATTTAAAATAAGGTCCCAAATCATTATCTCAAAAAGAGCACTTGTATACAGAGGAGTAGATAACATCACATCCAGATGGATGGCTCAGCTGTTATCTACGAGAACTGCAGACACACAGATAGGGCGGGACACCATCTCCATCTGCACAACCAGAGGATGTTCACAAGGAGGAGTTCTATCCACACTAATGTGGAGCCTAATCGTAGACGAACTTCTATGCAGATTGACTGACCTCGGCATACCCTGTCAAGGTTATGCTGACGACATAGTCATATTTGCTAGTGGCAAGTTTAGTAATATCCTGTGTGATATAGTCCAACGAGGACTAGACCATACCGAAAGATGTTGCCGTGAAGTAGGACTTAGTATAAACCCTACAAAAACAATACTAGTAGTCTATTCAAGGAAAAGAAAACTTAATCTCAAAACCGTTCAATTAGAAGGGATAGATATAGAATGGAAAAATGAAGTCAAATATCTAGGCCTAACCCTGAACAACAAACTTCTCTAAAACACACATGAGAAGGAAGTATTAAATAAGGCTACAAAAGCCCTAATGGTATGCAGAAACATTGCAGGTAAACGATGGGGATGTAACCCAAACATACTGCGATGAATGTATACTCCAATAGTGAGACCAATCATCACTTACGGGGCTATAGCCTGGAGTAATAGAACTAGTTTAGCTACTACGAGAGCTAATATCTCAAAAGTACAATGCAATGAGAACCTGTCCTACGGCCGCAACAGAGGTGATCTTAAACCTCACCCCCTTACATTTGATGATAGAGAATGTGGCAAAAAGAACATAATATAGAATGATCAGGAACGGAGTAATCTGACAAAAGTCTACTTGCTTCAGGACTAAAGATATCTGGAACATGCCCCAGGATGAAATGCTAAAGAAGTACAGTTTTGTGAAAAACTTCAAAACCACAGTGCTGGGCTGCAAGAAAGAATGGAGCCAAGAATCCATTGCGCTTGCAACCGAAAGACGTACTATTCAGTGATATACGGACGGTTCCAAAACCATAGAAGGAACTGGAATAGGAGTATATGGGCCGAGAACCAAGTACTCCGAAAGCTTGGAAAAATACCCAAGCATCTTCCAGGCGGAAATTCACGCCATCGAGAAGTGTATCCAGTTTAACATCTAGAGAAACTATCATCATGTCCGATAGTCAAGCAGCCATCAAAGCGCTGAGCTCTTACGTAAACAGCTCAAAAATGCTCTGGAGATGCCTAGAATAATTGAATGAGCTAGGCGAGAAAAATAGAGTTACTCTCACTTGGGTCTCGTGACATAATGGGGTACAGGGTAACGAGATTGCAGATAGTCTTGCAAGGAAAGGGGCTCAAACGCCCTTTGTAGAACCTGAGCCGTTTTGCGATATCGGCAGTAGCATATTATTAAAAAAGAATTGGGCAGTAGAAGAACCAATAATTAGAACAATCTCTTGGGGCTGAGACAGGCCAAGAGTGGCTGAGTGAATATAACCAACAAAGATCGGAAGTCTGCATTTGCCTGAGCAAGAACAGGCTACGTATTGTAACAGGGATCCTTACCGGGCATTGCCGACTAAAAAGACACCTTAGTAATCTGAGAGTAGTAGAGGATAGTGAGTGCAGATTCTGTGAGGAGGAGGACGAAATCTTCATTCACATCCTAACTGAATGTCTAGCACTCCAGAATCCAAAGGCACTATATCTAGGAGGATATCAAATAGAAGAGGGATATTTACCTAACTTGAAGCCACTTCAAATCCTACACTTCCTTGAGAAAATAGGACTGGAAGGGTCATGATAGGCATTGAGACATTTTCTTAGTGCATTGGCGACAAAAGGGGGCACAATAAACCTTTTAGGTCGCAGTGTATTAACACCCCTTTCCCAACATAACATAACATCATTATCTCAAAAACTTGTCGATAGATGTCGCTAATGTCCCTATTCTGAATAACCTTTTTAGCGCCTTTTTATCAAGAACAACAATAGTATGCCGTCACCTAAAAAGGACGTAAAGCTTTTGTAGATATTTAGAAGAAGGGAGTACAATTTTAATTTTTTTGTATTATTTATAAATAAACACTACCTTAAATACCTATTTAATTTAACAGTGTTGAAATTGTGTATATATCAAAAAAATATTTAATTTTTTTCCAGGAATAGTGTCATATTTTTTATTTTTAAATGAAAAAACACATTTTTTTATAGCAATGTCATACACTTTTTAAAAGTTTGTTTAGTTCTGATTTTTTACAACAGTACTTCAAAAAAATATTTCAACATACAATTTTCCAAATATTTGGTATTCATTAAGCCGCAAAACTTTAAATCACACTCCTGAAAAATCTGGTTTTCAGGAATATGTCACTCTTCTCGAGAAGCAGCGATTTATAATAATGAATAAAACTCAAAAAAAAAAACATGATAAAAAGATTTTAAATATTGGTGATGACGAACGCAAGTGCAAGAGAGCAATAATGGGATATAAACAGTTTAAAAGTTGCCAGTGTTGCCGCGTGTTGGGTGTATAATTATGACTTTGAGACATGTGTTGTGATGTGCAATACTGACTGACCACTTTTAAGGCAGGGCATTAGTGTTTTAAGGTAGAGCATTGCCACGTATCAGTCACCTCTGGCTGCGGCCTTGTACCCGTCGCTGTCATTTTTTAGGATATTTGCTTTGGCGAGTATTCGCCAACACCTGCCAGCACAAGAAAGGTAAGTACCCCTTAGCTACGTTGTCAATTACATTGAATCAGTAGGCTGGATGATGAGCTGGGCTAAGAAATGTCCCATCGCATAAGTAGGATGCACAATAGGCTTAGTGAGGCTTAAGTGATGTAGGGAACAACCCACTGTCCCCCTTAAAGATACAGATATTTAATGAGTAGACCAAGAAAAAGATCTTGATCTGAGAATATATGGAATCCTGTCGCATTATAGAAAAGCTGAGGTCTTAAAGACTATAACAGAATATGCTCTCAGTCAACTTTTTGAAGTTTGCCAATAGCTGTTTAACTGTGCTCATTTGCTAATTTTACTTTAGACTTGCTCACCCAAACACCTAATCCTTTCAAATCCGTCTCAACAAACTATCTCTCATTTTTTTCGTAAAAATCATTATACATTAAAGTAATTCCTTCTGTAACTTATAATAATGTTTAACATTGTAAAAATAACGTATTGAACTAATTTATAAGTCTGTAATTACCTTTAAGTTGACATCTTAAAAGTTTCCCACTCGCCCCGTCTGTGTTAGAAAAGTCGCCCGTCCCCACCACGTAGGAGAGTACGCTGAATATGCATCGGCTCCAAGAAACACCCTGAAAGAATGCATTATTCAACATTCAAATTAGAAATAAATTAAATATTAAAATTATAGCAGCAGAAAAAGAGGCCTTATTGATTATGTATGCAGTGAGGAAAAATTAAATCCTCTAATGAAGAAAAACGCCTTTTTGGAGGCACGAAAGAAAATTGTTGGAGAACGAGGTTGGGCCCAGGTGGTGTGGTCTTCAAAGAACCCTCCTCGCAGTGATGTAAGTTTAAGAATTTTTAAATTTACATGTCTAATGCCTCAGGTCTGACGAGCGTTTGAAGGATTTTCTGAGAATCTTCCGAGTTTTCTTTTTAATTAATCTGAGATGATTAATTAGCTGAAAGATTTAAGGGAAAAAAGTATATAACTCATTTTTAGGGATCGTGGTTTAAATTAAAAACTCATCTGGTTTCTAAAACGGATTTAGAAAAAAAAAATACTTTTTTGTTCCATTTATATTACCTACGAAAAGAAACGTGTAATCAAGTATCCAGTTTCCTGATTTGTATTGAAAACTTCACTTTTATTAATTGTGAACTTGATTTTATCGTAAAAATTATTATTATACAAAATAAATTCAGTTTTACAAATGTTTATCTAACCCCGCTTGTGTTCGAGAATTTCTATATCCAACCGAATTCGATGAAGTGAAAATATGTTTCGGTAGAAGTGGCGTGTAGCCAAAAGGTACAGAAGATGCTGTAAAAATAGAGGAAAAGCCAGCGAAAAGCTAACCCTAGATAAGCTGCACATTCACATGTATGAATTCAGCACATCAGGATAAACTCGAATCCGTAGAAAATATTGTAGTTATCATAAGTTGATGTGCCACCCCATGTCGGCCACCCCTCGATCCTTGGCGTTTAAGTGAAACGATGAACAGGCAGAATTCAACACGTGACTTGCGCAAAATTTAGAAAAACATGTAAAATAAGTATTAAGAGAAAAACAAAGAAATTAAAGTATCTAAATTATTGTAAATTATTTCAAGTAAATTAAAGTACTGGAGCTTCTTTATTTAGATGATTTAATATTGTTCATATTTAAACTTATATTGTAAAATTATTGTTGTATTTTTGTTATCTATTGTCTACACTGAGAAAACATGATGTATTAAACATGTTTAATAGAAAGATATTTTATTGCAACTAATACATTACTTAATTTTCGGTAGCAAAAAAGAAGAGGAGAAAAACGTTTCAATTATAATTTTAATTATATTTTTTTAAGATTTCATTAGAAAAATTTTTACCAGCTAAATCCGTTCCATTTTAAAATTTCTTTAATAATTGTAAGATTCCACCAGGCAATTAAACATTAAATATAAAAATCATAGATTTAGTTGTCAAAAGTCAAAAGTTATTCAAAAGGGTTGTCAGATTTAGTAATTTGTGATTTATATATAGATATTTAGATTAAGATATATCTAGATATAGATATATAGGTAAAGATATAGATATAGATTTAGATATTGCTTTAGATATACAGATTAAGATATAAATTTAGCGTTAGCTATAGATTTATAGATTTAGATATAGATTTAGATATAGATTTAGATATAGATATAGATATAGATTTAGATATAGATTTAGATATAGATTTAGATATAGATTTAGATATAGATTTAGATATAGATTTAGATATAGATTTAGATATAGATTTAGATATAGATTTAGATATAGATTTAGATATAGATTTAGATATAGATTTAGATATAGATTTAGATATAGATTTAGATATAGATTTAGATATAGATTTAGATATAGATTTAGATATAGATTTAGATATAGATTTAGATATAGATTTAGATATAGATTTAGATATAGATTTAGATATAGATTTAGATATAGATTTAGATATAGATTTAGATATAGATTTAGATATAGATTTAGATATAGATTTAGATATAGATTTAGATATAGATTTAGATATAGATTTAGATATAGATTTAGATATAGATTTAGATATAGATTTAGATATAGATATAGATATAGATTTAAATATAGATTTAGATATAGATTTAGATATAGATTTAGATATAGATTTAGATATAGATTTAGATATAGATTTAGATATAGATTTAGATATAGATTTAGATGTAGATTTAGATATAGATTTAGATATAGATTTAGATATAGATTTAGATATAGATTTAGATATAGATTTAGATATAGATTTAGATATAGATTTAGATTTAGATATAGATTTAGATATAGATTTAGATATAGATTTAGATATAGATTTAGATATAGATTTAGATATAGATTTAGATATAGATTTAGATATAGATTTAGATATAGATTTAGATATAGATTTAGATATAGATTTAGATATAGATTTAGATATAGATTTAGATATAGATTTAGATATAGATTTAGATATAGATTTAGATATAGATTTAGATATAGATTTAAATATAGATTTAGATATAGATTTAGATATAGATTTAGATATAGATTTAGATATAGATTTAGATATAGATTTAGATATAGATTTATATATAGATTTAGATATAGATTTAGATATAGATTTAGATATAGATTTAGATGTAGATTTAGATATAGATTTAGATATATAGATTTAGATATAGATTTAGACGAAATAATTTATCGATTTTTAAATAATACAGGAAATACAAAATCCGTAGTAAACAATATTTTATTAAAAAAATATATGTAACCAGTTTCGGAATAAAAACCATCTTCAGGTCGAACAATTATAACAAATTGAGTACATAATATTAAATATGAGAAGAATAATAACCATCATAAAAGTAAAGTAAAAAATGTACCTACCTTGAAATTCATTTCAAATTAAAGTCCTATAAATGAAATATTTATCTCACTTACAAATCGTTTCCACCATGGTGATCTCGGAATAGTAGATAAGGGTAAAACGGGAAACCTTATAGAACTTTTATAGTAAAATTTTATTGGTACCTTAAAATACAGAGTTACTAAGGTAATTAAATAAAATATTTTACTGCAATAAAACTTTAAATTGCAAACACCCTGTACTATTTTCAAATATTTAAATGATTCTCACAAAAAGACACAATATTTTGTAATAAATTGTCAAAAATTCGTTAGTTATTTATTTTGTAATTAAGAGAAATTAATTATTAATTACATTAAGTTTTCAAAAAATGTAAACTAACATAATTTTTAAGAGCTGAATCTAAAATTGAAGGAAAATCCAAGGTGACCCTTATGTTAGTATTTTCATTTGAGATACCCTGTATATATGAATTTTAAGATGTTAAATTGTAGCCGCCATTGACTTGACTTAAATATTTGTTCTAAAGAAATTTTGTCAAAAACATTTATAGGTTGCCTTCCAGACGCTGCCTCGTTAAGAGTCACTGAGAATGGCACACCCTGTATAGATAAATACGATAATTATGCGGTAGTTGGCTTGTTTGTATTTAGAAAACATACTATCGCTAAAAAGGGTTAAACTAGTATTTTTGTAAGTTTTTTTTTTGACAATAATAGCAACAACATTGTTTTCATTATAAAATCATTCTATAACCAAAGAAAAAGGAAGAAACAATATCTTTTGTATGGAACTAAAAATAGACGAGTCTTGCAATAGGGATACACACGTACGAAAGTTTTGATAAAATCTAGACATTACTCGTCCAGTCATCGTACCGGAAACAGATAAAATCACGACGAAGTAGTGTCCCACAGGTAAGCAAACCAACCACAAAAGAAATTTATACCGTGTCCTTTAAGAAAATACACAATTTACTTTTTGTCAGTTCGTACGAAAATAATGAGCACGTTTTATACGAAAATCATTTAATAAATTGATGCGGTCGTTGATAAGTCATTTTTCTACGTGACCTTCTATCAGCTTTTAATAATAAATCTGATGTAAACTTTAGAGTGAGAACGCGCAACCGCTTGATATACCTTATAACATTTTTCTTGTTTGCATAACTTCTGTCATAGATATTTTTTCTTTATCCATAATTATTAAACAGTTCTACTTAAAAATCCCCTTCACCCTCGTATATTCTGAACGACTATACTTATAATTATGAAGTTTGGAGGGTGAAAATAAAATGTTGTAAGCTTTTTTACTAGTGGTGACGTAATAGACACAGTTTATGTCACAGAGCTGCTGTGACAAATAATAACAAGTGACACCTCGTTTGTAAGGTCTTTATTTAATATTATGTGTAAAAAATATTCGTCGCAACATTCCTGGTATTCCGACACTCCCAGTACAGTACATTTCCCCCACAATTAGGACTACCATTCGCACATTATATTCTAGATACATTCTTTGCAACTCGTCGATCAGTGGAATGTATTTGGCACGATTTTCCCTCTCCTCAATAAGAATGTTGGTTTCAGCTGGTGCAGAAAACTTAATGACAAACATTGAATGACTCTGCTTGTCCAACAGCACCAAATCGGGCTTGTTAGCTTGAAGTCTGGTTGTTGTGGGAAAAGCGTAATTCCAATAAATACGGCAACTGCTATTTTCCACTACCGCCACAAGTTCGTCTGGGGCTTATGGCAGAACTGGTGTCTCATCTATAGTGATGTCTCAGATGATAGTAGAGAACTCGCAATGCAGCGTTGTGCCTGTAGATGTACCTAGACACAGCTTGCACTAAACAAGCGGACAAAAGATGCATTTATAATTCCGGGTATTCTTGGCATGTTCTGCATCTGACAGCCGCCACATGCGTAAATTGAGCGCGGTATACAAGAGTACGCCATTATAGCAAGCTAACAAGAATCCCTCTGTCTCAGACTTCAAGTCAGCTGATCGAAGATAGGAGAAAGTTAATTCCCGAGATAGATTAAGATCTTCTATGTTCCTGTAAAAAACACCGTGTTGGGGTTTGCTGACGTGATCTTCCAAGAGCAGCTGTTGTTCTGCTGCCCTAACTTGACGTTTTACTTGAGCGGGTTCCAACCTTGTGAGAGATTGGTTGTCATCTATTTTAAATCTGAGACCTAGTTCATCCGCAGCATTACCTGCAACCTTAAAAAGAAAAGCCGCGATACCAGTTGTTTTATGGTCCCGAACCAGCTGCAGTAGTGAGTCCCCACTATTGGCTATCTTGCAAGCCAAACATACAGTTAATCTATCATGCAGCTTTTCGAGACTCAGAAGACCCCTGTCCCCTTGATGACGTGAAAGGTAAATGCGTGAGACCGATGAGCTTGGGTGGATGCTTTTGTTCATATGCATTATCTTGCGTGTGCTTACATCCAGTTTCCGTAGTTTCTCTCGTCTCCACTTGAGCACGCCAAATGAACACAAGAGTACAGGAACAGCAAGCATTTTAATGGCAGCAACTTTGTTGAGAAAAACTGAACAGCAACTGTTATTACATAAAATTGAAAAATCTGAAGCTACTATGTGAAGTTTTTGCTGCAGCTCATCTACATAAGTTGCATGGTATGTTAAAGTTATATCGTCGACCTAAAGTATGGTATAATCTGCAGAGACATTTTGAGGAAGATCATTCACATGCAACAAAATGTTAGTGGTCACAAAACTGAGCCATGTGGTACTCTTCGAGTTAGAAATTTAAATTCTACAATTACCTTTTTTTACACATATCTGATGTGCAACTAAATCAGAGGTAAGCTATTTTAAAATGATGCCATTGAAACCTAATTTATTTTGATCAATAAATATGTCAAATGTGTCAAAAGCTGTGGACAAGTCAAAGAAGATTGCACCTACTTACTCTATCCAGCTATCTTTGAACTGTCAGAAACAAAACCATACTTATGTATTATACTCTTCAGACAGTAGTCTGTGAAGAGTATTTATTATAGGTTTACTTTCAAGAAACCAACATTTTTAATATTCATCCAAATTTAAAAATTTTTAAATAATTTTTAAAAGTGTTTGTTCGATGTCACGTTTTTTGTTTGCACGATATGTCAAAAACAAAAAATAATATAAACCTAAAATTTTCAGGAAAAATCAATGCCTATTGATTTTGAAAAAAATCTGATTTAAAACGGGGGGTTAAAATTAAAAAATTAATCATTAATTAAAAATGAAAAACAATATCAACTTGAAATTTTTAGGAAAAATTAAGCTCTACAATAAAACGAATACATTTTTTAAAAAATCTGAATAAAAATAAATAGGAAAGTTAGGAAGGTTAAAATTTAAAACTATGGAAGGGGGGGGGTTGAAACAAAAAAAAATCATAAAACAAAAACGAAAAACAATATTAACTTTCGATAAAAAATCAGGCTCTACAATGAGACGAAGCCTATTGATTAAGAAAAAAAAATATTTTAAATGGGGGTTCAAGGGGGATTAAAATTTAAAAAAAATTATAAATTTAAAACGAAAAATAATATCAACCTGGAATTTTTAATAAAAATTAAGCTCTATAAAGGCTAAATAAAATCTGATTAAAAATGGGGGGTTAAAGAGAGGTTAAAGGGGGGTTAAAAGGGGGGTTTGTTTAACTGTGAAGAGTAACATATAGAATGCCAAACATTATATATTATGTAACATTTGTTGACTTACATATTTTTCAAAAACTTTAAATAAAATAGTGGGGATTGTAATAGGTCTTTGAGTTTTCGGTAATAAGAGACACATTTTTTAAAAATAGGTATAACAAGCCCAATTTGGGAAAACTCCGAGTAACAAAGAAGTATTGATTATGTTAAATAATAAATTCGCAATGTATGGGGCAATATTGTTTTAATCATTATTTGGAAATTAAATCAATTCCTTCTGCATTTGTATTATTTAGAAATGCAATTGTTTGGATCATTTGTTCAGAAGTAACTTCTATAAACTGAAAGGTGTTTTTACAAAAAAACATAGTAGCGTTGGGAAAATGATTTTTAATTGCATTACTAGCAATTGAAGAGAAGTAATATCTAACTTTTTGTTTACCTTATATCATTTTTTTTTGGCATAGTCATATTGTCATTTAGCCAAACACAGATTCGTCCATAATTAGAACTACCCAAGAATATTTCCTAACAGCAAGAGATGTAAGAAGAAGAAAAACAATAAACAATATAGGACAGGGACACTCGCTTCTCGTCCAGGGACCCATCAGAACGTTTTTTTTTTTAATAGACAAACAAAATTAGGCCTCGGCAAGAGGGTAAACAAATAGGTTAAATACAGAGGAAACAAGATTAAGATTCCAATCATAAACGAATCTTGGTGTCTTTCAGAAATTGTAAGCGGTAATTGGTAATATCATAAGAAAAAACCTTATATCATTAAAATCATGTATTTTAATAATGTTTGTTCAATTTGAAATCAACAATTTTCCAAACAATTTTATGTTTTTGTTGACTTAAGTTTTCTTTTAATAATGTTTTGTGCATATCTTGTTTTACATTTTGTATCGTTCTAATATATGACTTTTAGAAACATTTTTTTTTTTGAGTCAATACATATATTTTTAAATAATTCCCATTTTATCAATCACATCGTTTACCCATTTTGAATTATGTCTGTTCAGAGTAATTTTTAGTTATCATTGTCCAAATTATTTTCTCATTTCCCTTTTGAAACCTCTTTCAGTTT